ACACAACAATTATTTACATTTCTTCATTCCTTACCGCGTTCGAACCAGTAAGGTTTAAAGAAATTAAAAAAATAACCTACTTTAAAAATAAAGATGTTAATGATTTTCTTATGGATCCCATCTTCAGATCTTGACTTAATGTATATAAAACTGTTTCCTTTTCTAACAAAAAGAATCCTAGAAATCGGGCAACGTGGTAAAGAATTATCGCTCAACATACATAAAAAAATATTTCAACGAATTGAGAATATCCTACCATTTTGAAGTGTGTTAAAAAAAAATTGTTAATAAAGTGAAAAGTAGGGCATGAACATATATTATAAAGTATATAAAATGATAGATAAATCCAGTTTAGAAGGTATTATAAATAAACTGTGGAAATATTGAGAATCTCGATTTTGAATCGGAAAAATATTCTACGCAATTTAGTATGAAAGCTGATCAAAATGAAACACATGAACGACAAACTGTTATTGACAACTTTCTTCAAACGTTTTCTATTTTTCCGAAAACTAACTAGATAGTTCGAAAATCATTTCCTTCGTTAAAACGCCTCTTGTTCCGAAAAAGGTACACGCCTGTCAACATTCATCGTTCATTAAAAAAGTGGTAGATACAAAACGCTTCGTATTGTAAGGCCAAAATATATTTAGAAATCGAAATAGTCATATAAACAAAAAAATCATATGAGTGAGATAACTACCAAATTAATGATTTACAAGTTTATTCCTATTATTTATAAAATAGGTTTACAATGTGCTGGTGTGGAATGTTATCATCGACTAAAAACTTTAAATCTTTGTATTAAATTGATCGAAAACAAACTATAAATTGGTTTAGGCTATATAGAATGTTTCTAGTAAGCAGCAACTAATTTTTATTATGGAACCGAAAGACCCTTTTAAAAGGGTTCAAAATTAAAATAAAATATGTACCAAGTAAATGTAGTAGTATTTTTTAATTTTTTAATTTATATTGAAAATGGTAACATGAAAGGTTTTCTGTCTAACGACTCATAGTCTCGGCTGACAAAATGTAAAAAAATATCGAACATAATATTCCTGGGCCCTATTTTGCACTCCCCAGATTAAATTTAGTTGTAGCAAATGATATTATCAAATAAGATGTCAAATCACAAGCAAAATCTCGTGACTACAGTACTAATGATTGCCTGTTTGGAAAAGTATCTTTATTTGTAAATATTTATATGCATAGTTATATTTAAATGCGCGAGTGTAATGTTAAGTATAAACAAAATCCGCCCATTATGTATATACGTTTAGTTACCGACCCTAGTAGATAGGCAATTTGTTATTGTTTTAAGTTTTACCGTAGGGAGAGAGAAAATCAATATTAGGATAAATGGTCCAGCTCCTTTCTGGTTACGTAGGTACCTAAAAAGTATTTTAGTTTTTGGTTAAGTAATTAATTATTGTAACAGTGATTTTCTTGTGATAGTACCTAATTTAGATTGTGGATTAAAGTTTTTGTATATCATTTCGCTGTTTAATAATAAACGTAGTCAAAACCGGAGCACGTGGTTTTTCTGGAAAGTATTTTTAAAATCACAAGCAAAATCTCATGACTGCTGTACTAATGATTGCCGAAAATTAACTAATTCATATTTTATGCCATATCTTTCTTAATAAGGACTGTCAGAACCATATTTACCTTAACTTGAAATTTTTTTAATCGTTTTTTTGTATAGAATCATCTCTAAAAATGTATTATTGAAATATCGTGTGAACTATTTGTTCGATCAATAAAAAACTTGCACCGGTCCTGTTCGCGCCAGCACCGTTATACGCATGAGCTCCGACACACTATTTTCTCCTTATGGTTTCATTTTTGATATATGGAATCGGCTTTCTATACTATTTCTATGGTTAAAACAGGAAGTTACGGTTTTTAAAATCTGTAACGTGTGGAGAGCCTCACTAGGCTCATTGTGCATCAGCCTAAGATGGTAGACCACCTTCTAAACGTAAGCCAGCCTACAAATTTGATTTAGATGACAACGTCGCCAGGAGGTGCTTATTCTCTTATATCGATCGGTGTTAGCCGATACTCATGAAAATAAATTTTCTAATAAATGAGAGCATCGGGCAATCGTAGAGGATATGTTTCTTGTTCGCGCTCCTTGCAAAGTGCGGATTCTGACAGCCCTATGATATGGAGACGCTTCCGTAATTAGCAATGACCAGTCAGAATGTCTGTTATCAGATGCAGATTCTGTCTAGTCATAGTCAAGTATTTGTTTGCTGAAGTGTTGTCAGGATAAATTAAAAGCTCCGTGACAACTCTGCAGGTTCTTGTTTCATCCCATATTTCCTTATATTTCACAAGGGAATGTTCTTTAATTAGATCTGTCTCTACCGATTTTGTCAGTCCAATAGAAGGGCCAGGTCCAAAAAGTACTTAGTTGGCTGCCTTCTTAGCTAGTGAATCAGCAAGACGGTTACCTTTCGATTCTTCGGCCAAAGTTTCGTGATATTCTATTACTAACCCTGAGAAAATCGTGGTCTACTCAGGGTGAGTAATGCTTGTCTGCTATCTGTCTAGATGAGCATGTTCCTTCCAGTCATATTGTTCCTGGTGATTTCTTTTGCTGCTATGAGAATCTCCGTGAGCTTGGTTTAAACTACACTGACATTACTACTCACAGCCCATTTTATGTTTAGGTTTAAGGATTCGAAGTATGAACTTTCAACTACGCTGGCACTATTATTCACAGTTCATTTTATGTTTAAGTTTAGGAATCTGGAATATATTCCACATCCTGAGCCTTGTTTTGTTTTAGAACCGCCGGTGTAGATATGAATCGTACCTGCCACTTCCATGTTCGCTTGAAGCAGTGGAAGCGTATCGAGCGCCTCCTGCCAAAAGCGACGTCTCGTCTCACCAGATCTTACATCAGATTTTATTATAACCCTGTGGAGGCGTGTCATTGTCATCAGAGGAACTTACTTGATGTAAATATCAAGGGGAGTGGTACTAAGAATGACTTTCATGGCTCTGGTCAATGTGGTTTTCATGGCTCCTGTTATGTTGAGCTATGCTGTTTTTTGAATTTGTTCTAGTTTGCGGATACCTGTCAATTTTTGGGTTTTCGATACCCAGACAACTGCACCGTATGTTAGCATTCCTGTGAACATCCTCTCGCAACCAAGCCTCTTTTACACTTATGTTTACTGCTCGCTTTAAGAACATGTCATGTATCTACCCATTAATCATCTTTGAAACCTTACTGTTGGAGAAACATGGTTTTGTCAAAAGTGCATTTTATGGCTATGAAAACACCCAAGGCGGACTCCTTATTGTCCAGGGATCTCTCTATCCGGCCAGCAACTAGGTGAAGTGCTGAATCAGTAGATCTGTCTGCATGTTGATTTGGGTGTAATGGTGTTTTTGCAGTGGCAGCTCGTCACCTAAGTCTTCGAGGAGGCTGGCACAACCTATAGGTATACTTAATACAAATATGTAGTTCTATTAGAATACAATGTAATATTTCGGCTTTTTGTGTTCTAGTAGAAAGGGTGGTTAAAAAGTTTGAGAGTACTGGAAATTATATTTGCGCTTGGGATATTTTTCATTCTTGCTATGTTATAATGATTTCTGTACAAATGACGTACAAGAATATAAGAATCATTGTTTTTATAAAACACACGAATACAAAAAGCACGTTGCAACCCCGTAAATTGCTCCATTGCAACTAAAACTGTCGACCACCGCGCACCATTTGCCAACTGGCTTCTTTCTCAGGAATGTACTTATTGCGCCAGCGAACGGATTAATAAACGAAAATATTTTCGAGACACCCTTTATATATTTGTATTAAGTAGCCTGCGTAGCCTCCTCGTAGACTAGGCCTGGAGCCGCCTATGAGTTGTAATCACCACATCCTTTTCGCACAGCATTTCCAATGTCTTCATGGAACACGATGTCAGACTAATTGGTCAGTAGTCAGTATGTGTTTGGGGCAGTGTAATCAATCCTTTCAGGTTTGGGTATGAAGACCATTTTTACCTCTCTTAATTTTTTGGGGTCATATCTCAGAGCCAACAAGGATCTGAATATACCGACCAGTTCGTTCAGATCCCACTGAAGTTAGTAGGGCTGAATAGATACAGTAAAGTCCTGGCGACTTAAATTAAGAGAAGCTAGATATTGCCCAACTAATTTTGTCATCATCTACAATGTGTTTGGCAGTATGACAATAGTAAAGAGATGGGTTGTATTCTTTCTCTGCCCAGTCGGCCACGTCTGTGATGACCGAGTCAGAGAAGTGTGTGGACAGCAGAAGTTTGATGTTTTTTATAAAAAAAATCAAAATGACAAAATTAAAATAAAGAATATCCACCTTTGAGTGTGACTATCTTGAAAACTAATTACTTTATGAGTTCCCAACAAGAGTACGTGATTTGTTGAAAAACATAAAAAATGTAAAAGTATGATCTAAATACGTTTTTGGACAGTAGCGTAAAATTTGGAGGGGAAATAATTTAAGCAAATATCATTTAATCGCCTTATTTTAATCAGAGAACCTTCAGTTGTTCTGTGTATCCTTCTTAATGGGATACCGTGTATAAAATTTTAAAAATAATAGTAGCTGGGTGACCAAAATATTAACTGTGATTGGTGGATTTAATTTTTTTTGTAGAATGGATATGAAATATATTCGTTCAGTTGAACGCAATGGCATACTTTTTCGTTTTGTAGTATGTGTGTAGATAAGCTAATATCCATGTAGGTGTAGAAAAATCTTATTTATTTATTATGCATTTTAATTTCAAATATTTTGGTACATTTTATTGAAATGAAAACACTGAACTCAGTTTAGTTAGTTTTTTTTTTTAGAAATATTACCTGGATATATTATTTGCAATCTGTTTCACATTATTATCCTACAGTTTGATTGAACTTTTCTATAAGCAATTACAGTTCAAATAAACATTTTTCCAAGTGTATTTATAAATTTAACATAAAAATATTTATTTCAGGTTGAAAATTACCAACAACAAGCATTTTCGCAAGTATTTATATAGATAGATATAATGTAAACAAACGCAAATCGAATACAATTTTTTTTCGAAATCTGATTCTGCGAACAACCTTTTTTACATGCGTTTTGAGAATTTATTCAAACATTATGGTAGTTATGGTACTGAGAAATAGAAACAGGACAAAAACGAGCTTTCGCAAAGGACATGTTGGTTTTTTTATGGATTTTGACTCTAAGCTATTTATGGACAACTGTAACTGGTTACGAAGGTGAGATATATTTTTAGATTTTTATGTTTTTAAAGTACATACCCAAAGGTTGTAAAATACTTTTGGATATATTATAAATTAGTTTGTATCCGAAAACCTTCTAGGTGATTTTTTAAAATCAATTTACTTGTTGTGACAATTTGACATATTGATTTATAAGTTTGGTATATTAAAAACGTTGTTCAAATAGACTTTTATTTATAATTTGCCTTTTGAAATAAATAGTAAGATTTTTTATACTTTCTACCGGGTGTTCAAATTAAAGTGTTACAGTTAAATATCGCCGAAAATATGCATTTTATAAAAAAAAGTTTCAGACAAAACTTCTATAGTTCTTTGGGGGAAACATTTTGGCTAAATTCATTTTTTATTGCTGACCATAATATGGCTATATCGAAGTGGTCTCTTTTTTTCAAATTGGAACCTTATTTTTTACATAGTTCATAAAAGAAATAAGAAACTTTTAAAGGAAAAATTTTTTTATTGGACTTTTACTTATTGAGTAACACCTACTTGAAAATTTTGCTGCGCGAAAAACAAATTGGCCATATTATGGATAGCTATAAAAAACCATTTTAGCCAAGAAACGTTTTTTTATAAAAGGTGGTAATTAACTGTAACACTTTAATTTGAACAACCAGTATATTTATAAGATTAATTCTGTCAAGTTTATGTAACGCTTAAAATATTCTTCATTATTTTTTTTTTTTAGAAATAGTTGAAGCGCAAGGTTGCCACGCGTGCAGATTGCTATTGACGTGTCGACATTTGACGTCTATTATCGCCATATTGAAAGTTGACTTCCATCCGGATCACAGCAGCCATATTTTTGAAGCGAACATTGGTTTTTCAAATTTCTCTGAAAACGGCCTAATCGAAACGATAGTTTCTCCCCCTCCTTTCCCACCGGTGCATCCCAGGGACGTACTTAATCAAAGGTTAGTATATAAAGTAATATATAGACTAAACCACTAAATAGGTTGCACAGACATTTAACAAATAATAACATAAAGGTTAATTCAAAATAAAGATAGCATGAGTATCATATCCTTAAAAATGTAGTTTTATTAGAAATTTATTATGAATTACAAATGTCAGTTCTAACGCTCTTTCTGGAAAGAGTTCTTGTACTAAAATAAAAAAAAATATTTAGAAAGTATTTCCTTCTTGAATTAAAAAAAACATTCTAAGACATCAGCTAATATTATTGACCTCGACAGTATCACTTGGCGAACTACATGTACTCCATCGGGGCTCTCCCACTTCCGCTGCAATAGGCTATCGTGAAGATATAGAGAATCCCACTGGGTCCAGTAGCCTTTTATAGTTCTACTGTATTTGGCTATCTCTTGCCAAGTAGGTGTGACTTTATTTTGAGCCATTCTCGGACAACCCTTAAGTCATTGTCTTTCTTCTGTCCGTGTCTCAGACTTTCAAGGGTGATTTCTTCTTCGTCGCCCTCTGGCTTAATAAAGGTTGTCCGAAGAGTAACTGTATCAACCGGTATTTCTCGTTCTTCGAGCCTTTTACCATACCAGCATTGTTCCTCTAAACGGGGTTGCCCGAAGAGAATGTCTGCGTTGCTATGGAGGCCTCTTCGATGCTCTACTTTCTGGTTATTTTTAGAAAGCCGGCTCGGTGTGGGTGACTGGCTTCTTCGGGATGCATAGCTGCTGTAATTAATTCTTGTTGGTCTTAGTGTTGGGCTTGGAAAGATTGATCTATATGATTTTTCGATCTCATTCGATGATTCTCGATTTATAGAATGAGCCATGCTTCTACAGGTTCTTTGAGGATGCCCGATTCTTCCGCAATTGAAGCATCTCCTGCTTCCATTTTGGCTGTTTCGTTGCATATTTCGTAGGATATTTAAGATTTGGGGAATAGCATTACTATGGGCCTCCTCACTTTACTGGAATTGAATTTCCCTCACTTTTGCGCGAGAAGATCTGGATAGGAGTTTTACCGCTTCATATTCCTGGGCTGCAATCAGTTTCTCCATCAGCATCTTGTGATGTTGTAGACGGAGGACTTGCTGCATTTCCGAATCTTGTAATCCATAAATGAATGTCTCTATTCCGAGTTGTTCTTGAAAATCTTTGGCCGCCTATGGATGGGCCAGATGAATTAATCTTCTTATGTCGGCCCCGAATTCCTGTAGACTCTCATTATATTTCTGACTACGAATTTTTAGCTGGCTTTGAAATACCCGTTTCAAATGCTGCTGGCCATATCTTGTCTCCAAAGCTTGGACGAGAGATGAATAACTGGGTTCCTCTTGAGGAAGTAACTGTAAAACGGTTACTGCCTGACCTCGCAGTTACATTATCATTGAAGCCGCCATCTCTTTCTCGGTCCAGCCATTGGCTCTAGCTGCAGCTTCAAATTGGAGTCGATATGTTTCCCATGTTGTCTGACCGTGAAACGTGGGTGGCTTAAGGGTCTTGCTAGTATAGTTTTGTAAAACTTTGATTCGAATGGGGCTTGGTTCGGTTATGGATGAAGACAAGGTAGTGTTATCAGTTTCTCTGTTGCTTATCGAAGCTTGGTTACTAGTTCTTCTTTCTAACTCAACCTGTTCAGTTTAAATTGCCTTTTGAACTCTACTCTAGCCTTTTCCTGTTGTTTTAAAATCTCTCGTTGTTGTTCTAAATTAGTTTTTAAATGCTCTTGCTGCTCTTCTAAATTAGCTTTTAGATGCTCTTCCTTCCTACGCCTTTCCTTTTCCTCCTCTTCTTCCTTTTTACTTGAGCAAAATCGGACCTGACTTTACACCCAAAAAGATGGCGCAAGGTCACCAAAAGTGTCTTACAGTTGCTAACGTAATTTTAATGAAATACACCTTCGGGTTGTTCGGTGCTACATGGTCGACAGGTATATTATTTTTGAGTGCATTCTTTCGCTAAAAAAAATATTTTTAATGTACTATCTGGTATTTCAGAATATTTTTTTAATATTAAATACTACTTTGGTAGACACAGTAATATGATTAAAAATGTTGTGTTGATCCTCAAAATATTAAATAATTTATGTTATTAATTATACTCGTGATTAACTTTCATCTTAATTAAAGTGTTTTTGTAAGTACTAATAGTTGGTTGGCATAATTAATTAGAATAGAGATATAATTATTTTTTGTTTTCATTAATTTTTTACACAATAAACAAGTATTGATACCTATAACTTTTCAATCAGCACACTTTTGTTCTCTTGTTGCAAACGTACATGACACTTCAACCACCTTTTCAATTGCTCACAACTATGTGCTTCCACAGAGTTATAATCAATTGACGCACCATCAATAATTTTTTTCTAATGATTGCGATTTCTGAAGAGACAATATTGCTTTCCCAGCCATTGTTGATCAAACGAAAGTTTTGAATTAGCGCTATTTCAACATGGCGGCTGCGTTTGCGCTCATCACATGATGAAAAGGCCTGTAGTAGAAGAAGCAAGAACGATGGTATTTGAACCTGATGCTCTGTCGTCACAGTTGTCACTTTCGTAAATCTGGCAACCCTATTGAAAAATCATTAATTCTGTGTTTTCTTTCAAACTAAAAATGAAGAAAATATAAATTTCAATCGCAAATATACCAATTATTTTTCTTTTGATAATACGTTTTGATTTCAATTTATTATTTAATGGTAATTTTTTTATTTTGACATTATTTAACCTATTCCTCAATGACAATTTATTAGGCTTAGGCAACTTCTTATACATTTATTTCATAAATACTGTTGCCTGCCTAAATTTTATTATTGAGCTAAAATTATATGAAATCAACTAATATTTCTGACAGTTCGCCGTCATTTATTTATTTTCATTTGGTACACCATTTTTTAACGATCTCTGTTTTTTTTTAGTACTATGCACAATTTAGTGCCATATTTTAAAGATAAACCTATAATAACTATCGTGATATAAATATACAAGTTTTACATAAAATTAAAATATTTAACGTCAAAAACAGGATAAAATATGTCAATGCATTACCTTTTTATAAGCGAGATATTATGTGTCACTCTTTATGTAGCATATTATCATTTCCGATGTCTGGCCAAATTCTGACCTGAAAATCCTTACAAGACGGGGAAAATATCAAAGATAAATTAAATTAAATTTCCTTTTCTCAGCCAAGACTTCACGTGGAAATATAAAAATGAAAGAAGGCGGTAAAAGTATATTTTGCGCATTATCTAAAGTGCTTCCAGCCATGTGGCATTATACAAGTATATATGGTTTTTAGTTGTAAGTAATGATATAGCAACAGAGTTTCCATTTTACGATACAGGTATGGATCTCAATTCCGATTACTAAAAATAACTGTTTTTATCAGTATTATTTATTTCTTTTTTAACGTTTCATTCTGGAGCGTCTATTATATAAAACGTTTTTAAAAGGTTCATAAATTAAATTGGAACATGAAAATGATGTATGGATTTTAATAAATCAACGTACTTTAGAGAATATAATACCTACCATGAGTTATTTAATTCGTTTCGTAACATTCCTACACGTGGTTATGACAGTTTTTTCTTGTCTTGAAAAATGTCAAGATATTTTTATATAAGGAATTTTTCATCCTGTATTTATTTTTCTGTGTAGTTTGGTTACAGTTTCTATTACAATTTTTCCGATTATTTTCAAAAGGCATTCTCATTTCGAAGGTTTGACTTATCTTCTCATCAAACTTAGCCAGCTGACGGCTTCTAATATCCGCACAAGTGCGTGTGAAAACTACAGAGTAAGCAGGAAAGAAACAAAAACCAGCAATGCCAGCCCATACGGCTTGGCGAACATTACAACGCGATCGGGTCGCATATGATGACGTCCTGCTTGATTCAATTCTAATAAATGCTGTAATAATGACGAACTTTCAGACGATTAACATTCAACAACTTTATGAAATAATTAATTCCCAAAGGAAAAACAAAAATAGTACAGATGAAATTGGTATTGATTTAATTAGGCGTCTTTATCACGTTCTGGGTTATCCTTTATTAAATTTGATTAATTTAAAAGTTTGGAAAAAGGAACTGTTCCTCAATGTTTTAAAACATCCACCTATTCCTAAGGTGATAAATACAAATAACGTTGATCAACTGAGACCTATAAATATGTTGCCATTCTGTGAAAAGGTACTTGAACTGGTTACGTATAAATAAATTGTGAAGTTTTTAAGTGATAATGATGTAGTATTATGCAGTTATCAATCAGGTTTCAGAAACTCGCATTCTTGTGAAACGGCTCTGTAGTTAGTTGTGTCTGATATGAAAAAAATATTAGATAAACCAGGAATTGGCATTTGCGCAGTTTTTATAGACCTTCTAAGAGCTTTTGAAACTATAGATCGCAGAATTCTTTCATTAAAATTAAAAAGGTATGGGTTTAATTGTTCTGTATATGATTGAGTAGAGAATTATTTTTCCGCCTACCTCTATCCAAAGTATACATTTCCTGGCCTCATTGCAGGGAGCAAAGTCGTACTTTTCCACCTAGGGAGGAAATGGTTGGAAAAAATACTATTACTAAAATTCCTAAAAAAATTGCAGAATTTTTAAAACTGCCTAATGCCATAAATTATACCGGGCATACTTTCAGAAGAACCTCGGCAAGTTTACTTGCAAACTCTGGAGTCTGGAGGAGACATTCTTGCTTTAAAGCAATACGTGCAGTGGTCCGTCCCAAACGCGCGCCTATGTAAGAGGGTAGACATGGGTAACGCAGCGCTGCGTTGCGTTATTGCGTTAACGCAGTTGTATGCGTTACGAGCGTTGATACATCAGCTGTTACTGTATCAGCTCAACACAATTTTCGATACTGAGTCGAAAGGATCGCGAGTTGTTGATGCGCCATGCGCCAGGCATTGATTCCGTTTTCCGTGACGAGTTGAGAATTTTAATTTACGTAATTGATGCAACTCGTAATGCAGATT